AAAAGAAAAAAAAAAAAAAGGCTCCTTCTGGTGATGACAAATTAGGAATTGCACATTTAGTTGGAGGAATACATTACTGGTGCATCACCAAAGTCAACCACTAGGCAACAAAAAGACGTATCATATGAAACAATTTTTTTAATTTTTATTTTACATATTTATACATAAAACTTTCAAGGTAACTCTCTGAACCCAACCGAATGTTAATAGCACATCTAAAAATGAATGTCAGGTAGTCAACATTCACAAAATGTTGAAAACTGATTAAAATATACGTATTACCGAAAGCTACAACTTCACTACGAGGCAGGCATGTATTTTGTTTTGACTTGTATAGCACCGTCAAGTACAGTTTCTTTATTTTAAAACTACAGTGAAGAATAAAAAAGTAGTCAATGGTAAAATATCGTTCAACCGAAAATCTCTAAACAAACAAAAATAAAGTTAAACTACCCTCTCTTCTCACCCATGATTTATAATGTTATAAGTACTGTACATTTTTTTTTTGTAATAACATTATTAAAATGCCTGATATTTAGTGGCACGAGTAAAAAAATTAAAATAAATTAAGAAGCAGAGGCCAATCACCGGACATGAAGCTTCAGACATGGTCAATGACTAACACTGGTTTTTCTCGTGTGCCGCCGTGGACGTCAGCGCTTGGACACAGACAGAAGCCAAATGAAGTCTCGCCCGAGCTCCGCTCCCGGGGCTCCGGGGTTCATTTCGCCGGCATCTTCTCTGCCATGTGCTTCTGCTGGCTTTCGGCGTGCCTGGGGCGGGGAGGAAAGAAACCGCGTTATTTGTCGCGCCGAGGGGAGGTGGAAACCCAAACCCCACGCCAGGCTGTGCCCCGAGCCAGCATCTGCCCCGCCCTGGCCGCCACCCACCAAAAGAACGTTTTCCCAAGGGAAAATAAAACCCGGCACTGAGCGAGGGATGCGCGGTCTCTGCCCGGGCTCCGTCCCGGCGGGAGGGGACCGGGAGGTGGGCGAAGGGGAGAGTGAAACCCTT